ACAAAAAATGGCAAATAATTTAGAATCAATTTGTAAAAAGAAATCTACTCGATTTTTACAAGTTCCTTTAACATCAACTGAACAAATTTATTTTGTTTTTTTAATTCCAACATTGATTGCCTGTTTCATATACATAATCCACTTCTCTGCTGACTTGGTAGTTGCTGTACAACATTTTAGAGAAAATAATCCACTATGGGGATATTGTACTATTGCTTTTATGTATGCACCAGCAATTATGTACTTTATGCTAACTGTTTCGAGGCCAGATTGGTGGATGACAGATGACGATAAATTGACAAAGGGTGTCTTCATTTGGTTCTGTCTTCAACTATGTCAATTGATTGGATTCGTCTTTTTTTCACTGTATAGGTACCAATTATTTTCTTTTAATGTTATTAACATTATTTAATTTTATTACAATAATTGATATTTACTTAGGTACGCAGGGCTCATAGTGTTATCTGTGGATGCTATTATATTATCTGGGAAGGAAAGAACTAAGACTCTAAACATAGCAGCTGCTCCAGCAGCTATAGAACTGTACCTTTTTTTACAAGCTTGGTTCCAGGCAGCTCCTCAAGCGATCTTTCAAATGCATTTACTCTTTCGTGAATCATCGTTTCATCAGAGTCACCAGTCTGGTACTTTTATTTAATATATTATTTGTAATATAACAGGACTTAAGAAACATAGAAACAGTACCAACTGTAATAAATACTTTTTTTATAGTTGTCATAAAAGTACTTTCTATTGTTATGTCTATTGTGATACTAGCCATTCAAACTACTTCCTTTCAAAGATTTGAAAGTCAACGTATTAATGGTAGAAAATTACCATGGGCAATGTGGTTAAGGAAGTACTGTATTCAGGTACTTTAATGTGATATAGTTTAAATAGATCTTACCAAATTGATATCTTACTTCGCCTATGTAATTAGGAACTCTCTGATCTTGAAGAAAGGACACCATTAAGATTACCTGATGCAAAACAAGAAGATACTGCACACATGAATAATGTCACTGAAGAATCTATAAAAGAAGACGAGGAGAAGGAACAAGTTGAGCCTCATGTTTCTTTAGGTCGTCAAATATCTGTAACACCTCCATTACCACCAAAAAATGTACAGATTATACCACCTCCTATGCCTCTGCGAAGAATTACCACAGTCATCCCTTTGCCTATACCTGATGTACCAGCTCCACCAAGACCAGATTCAATTTGTACAATCCTAGAAACTGAGCCTGAAAATGCATTAACTAAATCAGTGTCTGTTATAGATTCAAACAAAAATGCAGATGATTCGCACAGTTTAAAAGTTCCACAACGAAGGTATACACACAAAGGTTTAGAAGATGATGACCCTGTAGGGAAATTCTTATGTTTTTTATGGTGGTTTTGTTTCATTTTAGCACGCATACTTTCTATTACTGTATTCTATGAATTTTATCCGCTTTACTCAGCTATCGTAATTGGCATACACTATGGCATTATGCTGTTGTATATCTTTTATTATACAAAATATTATGATATTATTACATTTTTTGTTAATTTATGGTTAGGATTAATTTATATAGTGAGTTTGATTGAGTATAAAATTAAATTTAAATATGCAGATAAATGGCTGTTACCATACTATGTCTTTGTAATACTGCAGAATACGCTTCTAACATTAGCTTGGTACTTCTGTGCAGACTGGGATGGGTTTTGGTATTTTTATACATTTTATGTAATTTTTGTAAGTATGGCGCTCTGTATTTTATCAACACTATTTTATTACATTCTACTTAAGCCAAAGAAGCATAGAATATACATCAGTTGACAAACAATTGATATTACTTTACAGTAAAAAAGTTCATTGACTTGTGATTTTAAAAATGCTTTAATCTCTTTTTCAATTGCATTAACATTATCATTTTTCATATTTATATTAGTTCTATTCAGTTTCAGTCTGTATATAAAGATACATTAATTGTTTAACAACAATGATAAAATAGTTAATGCAATTAAAATTACAATTGTGTTTTTGTAATGTAAAATTAAAAACATTAAGGACTGATACCTATTATTAGATAATATGTTAAAAATGTAAATGTATTTATCGTATAATACTATAAATTACAGGTAACTAGTTTATGTAATATTTATAGAAAATGATTGATTTAAAAAAGTTTTACAAATAGTATATTCGGCAGCATTGGTCTAATCTGCGAATTTTATATTTGTACAGTAATATTTACAGTACTATGCATTTATATACAAAGATAATTCTATATATCTATATGGATACTTATAAGTATTAAAGTATAAAGAATATATATGTATATATTTCAATTTGTGTTTTTAGTTTTGAAAACTTTTTATACATTTAATAATTGAAATACTTATCTTGTAATAATGTTTGAGTATAATACTATGTTCATAAAGAAAACTAAAAGATAATATTTCACTACTTAATCTTAGCAGGAAAATCACTTGAAATTATTACCACTTTAGGTGATATAATAATATGATTAATAAAGAAGTATTACTAAATTTGATTTGTTTCAAAATATATGTCCCTTAATACTTCCTCACTCAATTTGATTTACATCATTCATTTACATGTAAGTATTCTTTGGGCATAATTATTGCATATCTCATACATGTATATTAGAATCTCTGTGAAGATTTCCCAATTGTGCTTCAAACAGAATGTCACTTAATAATTTCTCAGCTATAATTCTTTGGTCTAATCTCATATTTCTAAGTTTTGCTGCTACATTTCGTCCAATTGCATCAAACTCATCTTCCATTACGAATGAGTTGTTATGTGATATTTTTAAAAGATCAGTAGATTCACCTTCTTCAGATTTACGTCTTCGACTTAATGGAGATTCTGTCCATTCATTTGTCTGATCATAAGTTTCGTCATTCCCTGGTTGATACTCCTAAAAATAAATATAATTTTTATTTTTACGAATTTTTTATTTCTATTCCATATGATTTTACAATTAATATCCTTACAGTTTTGTAACATTTTCTATATCCTCGTTTTGTTTTAACCAGTTCTGGACACTTATCAGCTGACAAGTCTATATATACCATTGCAGGTTTCCTTTGATTTGATTTACATTTAATTTTATCAACCATAAATGGGTGTACCCTCTGCAGAACACTTAAATTAATGAACATAAAGTCACTAAATTGAAATTTAAATATTTTAGATATTAAAATGTCTTACTTTAATGTGGCTTAAAAAATTTCCTGTGGACTTTAAATTTCCATTTAAGTGTTTTTGGCACTGTAAACATCGTACAGTAACATTGGTATCTTCTACTCTAATTACTGTAAAAAATTCTCCGTCAAGAATAGCTGGTAATCGTATTGGAGTAAGTGTCATGCTCTGTTGAGTATTTGATTGAATCTGTGAAATCTGATTAGGTTGATCTTGATGTTGTTGTTGTTGTTGTGAATCTTGCTGTTGTTGATGCAACGTAGGAGTTTCATGATTTTCTTGATTTTCTACTTCAATACTTTGAGAAGAACTTTGTTCGTTCACTGTTTGTGATATTTCTCGTTGTTGATTTGTAGCATCGATCATACATGTGTCAAAAGATTCAATCTTTGTTTCATACCTTGGTGCAGGGAATGAATCCATGATCTTGTGATACATGTAAAATTCACTCTAACAAGTAAGTCAAGCAAAATATTTAAAAATTTAATAAATAAATTTTACATATAAAATACTTTAAATACCTGTAAAGAAATGGTAAACCATAATTTTTACTGACAATAAAATAAAATACTATTGTTTATCTTGGTTTCTTATTGAATTTTAGATAAGCAATTAGATAAGGATGTCATGCACATAACAAATCTAGATCAGATAATAGATGAGACAGTGTACTAGAAGTAAAAGAAATTTCAGTGTTTACATACCAACTTCATAAAATGAAGCTATTTTAAAGTAACATATACATTTTTTCTCATATATTGTAAAATATTTTCCCAATAATTAAATTTTTGGTCCATCTCTTCAAATAGAATGAATTCACCGCTGAAGGCTTAAAAGCTATTATGAGATATATGTGTACAAAATGAAATACTTGGCAGCACTGGAGTAAATAAACAGAACAATAAACTTTTATCAATATTTAGACACATTTTTACATGTAATTAATGAATTTTATTAAAGAATTAGCGTATATATCTTTTGCCAGATGAATTTTTACAACAAATATATCATTTCTGTATGTTGAATGTATTTGTTCTTCACTCTTTACATCATTTCCATATAATAATAATTTCTTATAAAAAGAATTTTATATAAATGATTAAGACACACGTCACATGCAACTTAAAAGAATAATGAACAATACTGCTATGGTATTACAACATTTAATTAATCTTTATAGGTTGTAGGGTAATTTTATAAAATATGTATTATGTTGTCAGCATTGATAATAGCGGTTCGCTGCATTAGAAATAAATTAACGTGTATTATAGGCGCTGCGATCACTATTGTTACAACGTGTACATGTATTACAACGCGTTTTGAGTGTATTGTTACAATTATTATTTGTTTCTATTTAAACTTGGAACACTGTAATGTTTCGTATAAGAGTATTTATAGTGCAATATCCTTTGGTGCATTCAAGCTTTTATTAAGGCGATATATGAACTAAAATTTTCACGAAATTATTTCTTACACTAAGATGTTTGCTACCCGTGCCGGAAAAAGCACGGAGGCTTCAGAATCATCTGAAGTAGTAAAATATCAACCTGAACTAAAAAAACGAACCACAGAACCACAAAAATGCAATGCAGTATTAGTTGCAAAACATTATAACTCGTTAGAAGATAAAGGTGTCTCGATCAGAAACCAAAGTCGTATCTTATACATGAGAAACTTTAATAACTGGATTAAGAGCATGCTAATATGTAAGATTCCGATTCTTATATATTCTTATATTTATACATATACATATTTTTAATACATACACAGAATAAAATGTTCAATAATCTATAATAGAAGAAATTTACATTACAGCCGAATATATTACTAAGCAAGATAAAGTACATGGATCTTCTCTAAGAGTATTAGATATTTGTTGTGGAAAAGGAGGAGATTTAATCAAATGGATGAAAGTAAATGTAACGCATGTGGTTTGTGCTGATTTAGCTCAAACATCTATTGAACAATGTCAACAACGATATAATGACATGTTCAATAGAAATTCTAATAAAAGAGGATTCGATCCTATATTCACTGCTGAATTTATAGCAGCTGACTGTACAAAGGTATTTGCTCCTATACATCTTTAATAGTTGAATATTAAATACATTAAAAAAACATATTTTTATATGTACTTTCATCTTATATCTTATCTATGAAAGTTGACTATAAAAAAGAGTTTCAGGTTCGTTTAAGAGAAAAATATAAGGATCCTAGTATACAGTTTGATTTGGTTAGTTGTCAATTTGCGTTACACTATAGTTTTGAGACATTACAACAGGCGGAATGTATGATGAGAAATGTAAGCGAATGTCTCAAACCAGGAGGCTACTTCATTGGAACTATTCCAGATACATACGATTTAGTGTATGTACATTTTTAATACACTAGTAATTGTGTATATATATTAAGTTTGCAACCTTTATTTTTTTATCTTCCACCAGTTCTAGATGGCAGAAATCTGATGGTAATAAGATTGAAAATGAGGTTTATAGCATAGAATTTTTATGTGATAAAAAAATGCCTCCACTCTTTGGTGCTAAATACAATTTTCATCTAGAAGGTGTTGTCAATTGTCCAGAGTTTCTTGTTCATATACCTACACTTTGTAAATTGGCTTCAAAATATTGTTTAGAATTAGTGAAATTTGAAAGGTAAAAACAAGTATTAATAAATTTATATAAATAAGATTGCATAAAATAATCATTATGTATTAATTAACAGATTTGATAATTATTATGAACGTATGAAAAACGAAGGTAGATCATTACTCAGCAAAATGCATGCTTTAGAAACTTATCCACCATTTCATGGTGTGCCACTTCTTGGTCACTCTACACAAGACTACCAACATGCAGTACAGTATATGCAAACTTTGCCAGACCATCGTAAAATCGGTACTTTATCAAAACCAGAATGGGAAGTTATTTGTTAGTATACAAAAATAATTTAATTCTTGCATAAAAATTATTATTAATTCTATTCTAATATTAATTATTTTACTTTTAGCACTGTATGCTGTATTTGCTTTTAAAAAAACGAAGATAACGAGTAATGAAGAAAAATTGGAAAGTGTGAAGTCATAGAAATTAAGAACTATTTAGGAATTAAAAATATTAGGGATAGTTTGACAATGAATTTAAACAATTTTAGTAATTGACTTTGCATTGTACAAGCTAGTCTGTTGCTATAGAGTTACAT